ACCGAGGTGGAGCTGGATGTTCTCACTGGTAACTATCTGATCAATCGTGTGGATCTGCTCGAGGATACTGGCGAGAGCTTGAATCCAAATGTGGATATTGGCCAGATCGAGGGTGCCTTTATGATGGGACTTGGTTATTGGATCAGCGAGCAGATCGTGGTCAATAAGGAGACAGGCGAGTGCTTGACAAATCGCACTTGGAACTACAAGCCGCCCGGTGCCAAGGATATACCCATTGATCTGCGCATCGAACTGCTTCCCAAGAGCCCCAACAAGGCGGGCTTCATGCGCTCAAAGGGTGAGTCCTACTACAGATTGTACTTTACATGGATGACTTACTTTAACATTTACTTTTATGTACAGCTACTGGAGAGCCTGCCATTTGCCTGGCCATTGCCGTGGCTTTTGCCCTGCAGCAGGCGCTGCAATCGGCACGCGATGATGCCGGCCTGCCCAAGACGTGGATTACGCTGAATGCGCCCATGACGCCAGAGCTGCTGGTTCTATACGCGGGCACCGAACCTTCTCAGCTCAGACTGAGCTAAGGTCATGCCTCAACGAACTCGTCCCAACTTTTTATTAGGGAAGACCTATACAAAGACGGCGCGTGAGAAGCGGCACGTGGCGATGGGAACGCGCCGATAAGCACGAGCTTTATATATAGAAATAGATAACTCAATATATATATGTGTGTATGTATATGTATATGTATACTGCACATCTTGTTTTATGCACAATAAATTAGAGACTTATCCAACGCAAATCCAAATGACATTCATTGTAAATGCCCCGGGCGGGCTAACAGCTTTGGCCAGCTATTGCCCAAAGTGGCCAAGTGGCATTTTCTATTTTCCTTTGCTCTGTGTGCTGTTTTTTTTTTTTTACGTGTTATTTTTTAGTGCTTAACACCTTAACACCAGCGTAGACCACCCCCGCCAGCCCTGGCGTGCACAACACACACACAACGAGCTCTTCATTAATTTTAAAATACAATTTTTGTAAGGAAATTTTATGCCACACGAAGCGTTAAGTGAATCCTGTCTGACACCAGGGGGCTCTTCATCGAGGGTTGCATCGCTTTTAATTCAGTGGTGCGGTGGGGGTTACGGTTCAGCTCGTTTGCCAGTTCAAATAGGTCTTCCTTAGCGATAACACCAACATGGCTGTTAATGAGCAGCACATAAATTATACTAATGATTGGACTACGGCGAGATGGATCCATTTCAAATACTATTAAGTGAACTTTCTATTTGAGCAATTATTGTGAGAGAGGAACAATTATATATCCACATCTACATAGGTTGTAAAAAGCAAACCATAATAATCTTTATTATAAACATATTTTTCCCAATCTTATATTCATCAATTGCGCACATAAGATTACAATAAAGGGAAGATTTAGAGCTATAATATGTACCTATTTTAGGATAAACATTTGAGAACTAAACTGTTAATTTATATTGCTTATATATTAAGAAAATCGTATATAGATTTGGTAAAATATTGGATCAGCGATCTATTCAATCTTAAATCCAATCTTAAAGAGGCTGTTAACGGGAACCGGTTGATGGAACATTAGGCAATATTACATTCGAAGACAATGATGTATATATTAATCTCCAAACATATCAAAAGTTAGACTGCAAATTTACGATACTTAAAGCTCTCCAGCTGTAGTTAAAGCATCGCAAATGCCAACACTGCGCCACGCCCACGGACTCGATAGAAGCGCCGAAAAAAGTCGCAGTTACGAGAAATGGGCAAACAAAATCAGCGCATGCAAAAGCAAATAGTTGATATTCGGGAATGGGACACAGGCACAAGCTCAGGTCCAGGCTCAGGCACAGGCAGCGGCACAGGCAGCGGCTGCAGCAGAGGTCCAGTCAGACGGACCCATTTGCCGATAATCAGAGAACGCATTTGCATATAAACATGTTGTTGGGTCTGATGTTCGCATGCAAATGAAAACATTAGCGGCATACGCGCATTCGCATGCACACACACACACACACACACACACAGATACAGATACAAATGTATATAGTGGCAACTGCTGAGCTATACAGTTACAGTTACAGAAATGCAGGGCTGGCACTCTGTCTGGCACAGGCCGGCTTAAATTTATATATATTTCAATTAAAATTTTACACACGAATAAATGCACAGCCACGCCCAGCACATTAGACCAGCTGCCCCAGCTCATCCCGTCTGGCACTCTGCAACTTGTGTCGCGTTTGTTTATGAGCGTCTGAAGGCCAACATCAACAGACGCCAGACAGAGGCCAGCGACAATGCCGTAAAGTGCCACTGCACACGAGTCCAGGTCCGTATCCGTGTCCATGTCCGTATCCGTGTCCGCGTCCGCGTACGAGTCTGGGTCCAGGGATCAGTCCTGCCTGCCTGTTTGCCTGCCTGTCACTGCCCGGCTGGGAGTGTGAGCTGCTCGTCAAGTATTCCACATGGGCGTTGATGCTGCAGCGAAAACTTGGCATTGTGTCCAAATAGTTGCTCTTTGATGCTGAAAATATATGTATTCTCATTCACGCTGTCTGCCATTCGAAGTGAATCTGTGAATCAGAAAGAAAGTGTTGAAAGTTGCAGTCTGTGAAACGTTTACGAATACCAAAGGCCATAAGCACTCAACTGAAAAGTCAACGATGAAAGGAAATTCATCTATGTACATACATACATACAGTATGTATGTATATGCATAGCTGGCCGGACTGACAAATAAAATACCCCCATCGGGTTGGTGATACTAATGTTATAATGTGTTGTACTTTTTATAGGCTATTTTAATTTAAGTTGACTCTAGTTTTGTCAATATCTTTAAATAAATAATAAATAGTGGGTATAGAAAAATATTTATGCATGAAATAGACTAAGCTCTGACTTTAACTGATCAACGAGCCTGTCAAATCCTTCTTTCTGAGTGAAAGAAATAACTTAACCATTATATGGTCATACAATGAAGGTTTATATTGGCGCTGCCAGACTGTCGATGTGGCTTATAAAGTGTTGCCTGACGCTCAGATTATTTGATATCAATTCCACTTGCCTAATTAGCAAAACTTTCAATAGGTTTTGATTGTATGCAATAGTTGAGCTGGAGTCAAAAGAATTTCAATAGCTTGTCTCATTAAGTATACAAATTCTATAACAGTTCATTGCAGTCTATGGTCTACTAGTGCCTAAGCCATCTCTAATCAAAAACTGAAATGAAGAAGCTGCACCTGAGCTCCAACTATAATTACAGCCAGACAATGCAATGTCCCATTAATAATTCAAATACTTGATTAGCCAAGGTTTACTATTCAATGCATTCTGCAAAAAGAGCTAAGCTCTTGACAGCGTTGCCAGACGCTCGCTCAGTGCTACCACTACATTTGCATGGCTCGCCTGGCTGGGGATTCCATTTCAAGCACGTGCACAATGAACGTCCTGAACTTGAACTTGGCAACTGTAATAATAATGCACGCTCTGCGACCGGACCCAAAAACTGGCAACTGGGCTTCACTTTTGCATAGCTGCTGCTTCTTTCATTTTTTCCGTCCATTTCCTCTCTCTCTCTCTGTCTCTGTCTCTCCAGCTGTCTCGTTCCCTATGTTGCTTTTGTCTGTGCCATGCATTTCAAATTCTAAGCAAATTTGTCGTCTGGGGGCGCCGGGCGAAACATTTTATGAGCGTGTGCGCGATGCAGCGCCTCAGATACGAACAGACCAGGCAACGTCTGCTATAGCAGCAGCAGGAGGAGCGGCAGCAAGAGTAGCAGCAGCGGCAGCAGCAAACTGCTCCAGTTTGTGCAGCAGCATGAAGGAGAGTTGGAGAAGATGGTGTCATGTCTGCCTGTGGCACACACACAAAGATGTCCTGGTGTGATTTATCGCCGGCGTTGCCAGGATAATGGCCACGTATTATAATAATGCCGCGCCATGGCGTATGCTTATCGCTGTCGAGGACGCAGCAGCGTCAACGTCTAGACGTCCTGCGGTGCAGCCTGGACGAAGGATATTGCACGGCAGCGTTTGCACCAGCAAAACTCTCAGCTCTCGTTGCTTTTTCAACAGGCGTTCAAGCATTTGCATTCCTATTGCAGTTTATTAAATAGGAAAAACCCCAAAATTAAGTACATCATTTTAGTTGAGTTTCTTGTTGATGCCGACTGTGTACAAGTGTGTGCATGCGTGTGCTAGTGTGTGTGTGTGTGTGTGTGTGTGTGTCTGGCGCATATCCTGTGGGCTACATAATTTACAAGCCCTGCATGAAAGCCGTTGTTGAATTTTACGCCGCAGCGAACGTCTTTGGCCAGCAGACGGACTCGATTCGTGAGCCAAATATATAAAATTTACGCAAACCCATATGAGAGTTAGACTGTATCAGTATGTGTGCGTGCGAGTGTGTGTGTGTGCCGTATCCTTTTGCACATAATGCCAACTGCAATACTCGCAAATACAAAGCAAACTTATATAAATATATATATACGATTTCATGGCTTTGCATGCATATAGTCATTAAAATTTCGTTTTGGGCCTGGCATGTCCTTGCCATGCCATTTTGTTATCCTTGTGTGTTAGGGCTTAGAGAAACCAACTGCTCCCAAGTGTCTGGCGAACAAAAGGGAAAAAAGCCAAACAATAGCTGAAATCTAGCAAAGCAGCCACAGATCTAAGCGTTCAGCTATTTAAAGGATTCACAAGGAATTTTTGTTATAATATTTTAGAGTTAAAGTCAATTTTATATTATTAAATATTATCAAATTATTAGAGTCAGGTCAGTTCTTGAACTACTTGATGTAGTTTAAATAAATCAATTTATTTATATATTAAATATTCATTCTTTAGCTGCCATTTGTCAATAAATTTCTTTGGGTTCCAGCACATATTCATGTCTATGCCAATGAACTTTTTCCTAATTCAAGAACTAAAATATCCGCTTCAGACATATTGTAGTCCGAAATCGATAGGTTTGCGTCTGGATCAAAATTCAATCCAATAGGTTCAATAGGCGCTTGAAGATTGCAAACGGAGAGGTCCGTCTTAACAATATACAAGGGCTGGGTTGTGGGGCCCAATTCCAGCCGCTGCCCGAAAAACAAGCCATTGGACCTTGGACTATCTATTGGATATATAGATAATATAATATAGAAAGCTTACAAGTATATGTACATATTTACGTCGCAAATTCTTTAGCTTACCGAATGTGTTTATAGTTGCCAAGGAGCCAAGCGCCTGAGCCAGCAGCTGATTCAAACTTAAGCGGTTTTTCATTTTCCTTAGAGAGAAAATTGATTATTAATTTTAGATAAATTAACAAAAATGTAAACTCAACTAAATTCAGAAAAAGCAATGTCCGACGTAGAGTTTCGTGCCCAATTATCGAATTTTGACAGCAAAAGCAGGGCTGCCAAAGAGACCATGGGCGCCTGAGCTATCGATAGTCCAGGCAATTTTTTTGCATAGCCAGACAATCAATAAATCGCTTCTGAGAATTTTAATTAAATTTAAGTCCAAATGGGACTTAATATCGGCTGCTTTTTTCATTATTGAAAAAAAAATTGCAATATTCGAGTTTTTTCAATAACAAATCCGGAAAGGACACGTCTCAGTTGCATGGCCCCAGACAAATGCCGCGAATCAGCGACAGCCACAACAGCAAAGGTAATGGCGAAGGACAG